TATTACTGGAGGCTGATATTACTAATAATGAAAGACCACAGTGTATTATTAAACTTAAAAAAACAAGTTATAAAATAATAAGGAAATGTAATCCATAAATCTTCAAAACTATATAATGGTACATTTCATTTTAAAGGCCTCGTTTAAAACGAAACTTTCCCAGCTGTTGCCACCCTCTTTTGTCAATGTTAAGCCTTGACTTCCTCGTGATCTTTGAGTGAAACGACAGCAGCACGATGGCGCATTGACATCCTTCCTGTGACGTCTGCAATGACACGTGTAGTCAAGATGGCGGCGGCGATGGTGAGTACCGACGCTGAAGTCTCTTCTGTTTGTCTGTTTCACTAAAGGTTTGATTTCACACTGGTAGACATGACCTAATTTAAACCAATTAGTTTTGTCTTTCTCACTGTAAGTGCGCCATTTGATGTGATTTGCTATTTCCACACAGTGGATGCCGATTAAGAAAACAGCAGGCTAGCATAAACACTTAGCAGGCAGCTAATTATCGAGTGTTTGCTAAGAGTGATACCGAGTTAAAATCCTGTTCTAATCTAAAACCCAAGCCATATGAAGCAGACAGCTCTCTTTACTTTAACAAAAGCGACTGTGTTTCATAGTAAACAGCATCACATGATGGAGTCTGTGTCTGTACTCAGTGTAATGCATTTGCGCTGCTTTAGCATTTACTGCCTCTCGAAATCAAAGCAAAGATGATGATACTGGTAAAGTGATCAAATCACAGTTGTTCTTGTCTCAATTCCCTTCATAGATTACTAATACGTATTGCTTCTGCGGGTTGGCAGTGTTTGTGATTATGTTCATTGACAGTTGAATGGAGTTCCGGTTTAATATGGAGAGTTCGGATATAATATGTCATTTTGTATCAAGTAATAGGTAATTATGGCAAGATAACCCCGACTGGGTGACATGACCACGATGCGAAGCTGACTGCATATTTTTCTGCTTATTATACCGCGACTTATCGAGAAACTAGTAAATAAATGACCATCATGTATTGATTTAGGAGTAAGTTAAATGATTTTATTTTTTGAAAAGAAAGTGTGATATTGATTAAAATCGGAATGAAATTAAAAAGCACACTTTATGCAGCCTATGTTGTAGATATTAATGTGAAGGACTCATCCATGTTTTTCACTTTGTAATTAGTTTGACCTCTTAACATTTAATCAAATGTCATAACGGTGTAATATGTAAATCTAGTACAAACTGTAGACTTCTCTTGTGTGACCTATACCGTTATCCTCCAATTATTTAATCTGCTTAAACCTGCCCCTTTTTTACATTTGACTTTACGTTTGAGTGCGACATCCACATCTCAAAATCCAGTTAAAACTCCATGCACAGAATCTTGTTTTTTTTTTTTTTGGTAACCTGTTTCACTCAGACAGACACCATAATACAGAAGAAAAGATCTGTCACTACTTTCGTCTCACCGCATCTGCAGTTATGCAATTATTCCACGGCTTTCTGGCAAACTCTTCTATGTTTCCACTCTACACCGCTCACACACTCTGGTCTGGACACAGATTTTCATCTTCTGAGGACTGTAATTGTAAAATAGAGATAATAACATCAAACTGCTTATTGGGATGATGGTGGTACAGATTATCGAGCTGTATTAATATTGTTTTCCTGCATATGTAATTAAGGTTGTTTCACATTCACCTTGTTTTTCCTGTTGGCATAGTTTATGGATCATTTATCACCTGGTTGTGTAATAGAGGGTATTCACTCTGTCAGCAGAGCTCAACATTACTGTTAAGTAAAATTACCATCAGCTGGCCATTGTTCAGTGTTCAACAAGAAGAATGTTTTTTTGTTGTTTGTTTCTGTAGCAAGATTCTAGATGAGTAACTAAAGAAATTTCAATTTGCCTTTGTGTGTCTTTTATTGTCTTTGTAGGAGATGTGGGCACTGTTACTGGTGTCCACGCTGCCTTTAGTAACACCCTTTTATGTACCAGGGGTTGCGCCCATGAATTTCCACCAAAACAGCCCAGTTGAAATAAAGGTACGGCCTCACACTTTTTTTTTTAAAGAATTTGAGTTGCAAAAGAGGGATTTGAATACTTACTCAGGCCTAGTTATTCATTTCACTTTAAAAATGCTAAAAACACTTCGGCTCTACACACAGCAGGTTCTAGGGCCGTTTATTTGTGTGTTGACCACCTGTTTTCCACAGACATGTCTTTCCAATTTTATTGATCTAGATACAAGCCACTGTGTTTGGCACATTTTTAGCATTCATTCCACAGATTCTTTCTCCACAGGTTTCTAGATTTGTATTGTGGTGTTTCTAACATTTACCTATTTTTAATTACCAGGCTGTAAAATTGACAAGCTCTAGAACCCAGTTGCCCTATGAGTACTATTCCCTTCCCTTCTGCAAGCCTGATAACATCTTCTACAAGGCAGAGAACCTCGGTAAGGATTGTGTATCATTTAACTGCAGTCACACGTCTGAAGTATTTAAGCATAGATATGTTTAAAACAAAAGCTTGCAGTGAGAAGGTTGCCGTGACATGCTTCTCATTTTGATAATAATGATATATGATCAGGTGAGGTGTTGCGAGGAGACCGTATCGTAAACACGCTGTACACTGTTCTCATGAACCTGGACAAGAAGTGTGAGGTGTTGTGTAAAAAGCCTGATGATCCCATCAAACTCAGCGTGGATGAGAGCAAGCTGCTAGCTGAGCGTATCCAAGAAGAGTACTATGTCCACCTGTGAGTCCCTCCTCTACTGACAACACTCTTTGGCTTCATTCATGAAACATGAGTAGAACAATGTGCTAAATTCTTTGTAAAGCCAGTCTTACACATTC